TGAAAAAAGTTACAATCATGTATGCTGGTACGTCAGCCAGCACGGCGACAGCGATGATAGTGGACATTGCGCCCTAAAAGATAGTAGAGTGCTTGCTTGTATTAAAGGCAGATTAAGATTTTTTGGACAAACGACATTTTGTAACAGCAACTACAAGTCATGGCAAGTAAATAACTGACTGCAATCTCTCCTAATTCCAAAATTAATAAATTACGAATTTAGGTTAAAACCATAACACTATTTTCTCAGCTTTATTAACTATTTTACTGAAAATCCTTCTTTCTGTAGCTATAAAAAGCTTTAAAGTTTTTCTTTGTATTGCGCTGCTGGTCTGACAATAACCCCTAATTTTTGGTAATTTTTGCGACTGTCGATTACATCTGAAAATATACCTGACAGAGAGGCCAACCAAGCGCAGAGAGGGCATCTCTGACTCTGTCTGCAGGAAGAGACGCTTCTGAGACGACATAACCGTAAGTGATGTGAGCTGCGTAGTCTACGGAAAATCCAATAGACATAATTATAGTAATCATTGAAATAGCATCCTAGAGGGATCAACACTATATGATTTGTATTTTTGCTAAATTAAATTCTTTTACCAAGTTCACACCCCAAAGGGTCATGTAGCCGACAACCCCGAAGTCGATTGAGCCACAGGCTAATGCCACCCAGAAGGCACACATTGGTTGCGGAATAAGGAGGAAGGCGATGAGCACCATGCAAGCGAGAGCAATAATGATGTTTTGCACCTTAATGTCTCAGAATTTTTGATGTAGTTAGCCTATGGATAGCTGAAATTAACATACTGTATTAGGAACAATAATTGCAAACTGATCCGTGAATAGCCATAATGGCATAAAGGTAGTGATATTGAATTCTGGCCAACGATCTGCCACCTGGAATGTCGGCATCAATTCGAAATATCGTTTTTGTTGCTAGTTAAGTTCTATTCATTGTCACTAATAAGATCTCATGTTAACAAGAACCTGCACGAGAAATTAATTGACTGTTCTCAGATTATGGGACTGTAACTCTGTGTTTCAGAACTTGTTTTTGCACTTCTTATCTTTTTTCTCTGTCTCAGACTTCATCTTGAATGATTAAAACAGAGGGATGGGAATGC